GCGTTTTTCCTATTCGTCTACGAATATTATAAATCATCTGAACCGTATTTCCTAGCGGTATGTGGAAATTTATACAGGTTAGGAAACCCGAAATGCTTAAAACTCCTGTAGAAAGGAGTCAGGTGAACGGTAAGGATATGGGATGCGGAGCGCCTGATCTATCAATTATTGGAGAAAAAATCTATAAAAAATATCCGAGATGTCTCCCATCTGCCCCCTCTTTCGGTCACTGAATGTAAGGCGTCTTCGTTTCTACGGATAAGTCCTAAACAGCAATAAATAAGGGATTTGCAAGCTTGAAACACGCAACTGTTATTCTTCCCAACACCGTTTCGACTACATACCAAATTCTCTTTACTAAAAATCATAGTTTAACAATTAAAATTCCATTTGTAAGACTTAAAGTGTGGACTACAGATTTGCAATAATAATAGCAACAACACTTGCCCTTAATCTTGAATAACAAATGTAAATGATTATTGAACGAGCGATCCATCGATCGGCAACGAGTTCTAGGCAAGATACAACAACAACGACAAAAGCAAAACCCAGAGCTAAAAGAGCAAACTGAATGACGGAGAAACACAAGTAGCGCCAATAATCGAAACGATTGAATCGAAAAATGCAAATTCAATTTGTAGCTGCCGCAGCTGAAGCGGCAATAAACTGCGCGCCGCCACATAAATAACCCAAAGCAATTGCAAGCGGCAAAAAAAGCAGAAAAGAACAGTGGAAAAATAACAAATGAGCGACAAAAACAAATAGCATCTGATAAAGCAGTAACAACAAGCACAGCAACGGCATGTCACGAGATAAGCTGCCCCAGGCAGATTGCCGTTGCTGGTGGTGGCCAAGCCGGTGACGGTGGCATCAGCGGCAACAACACTGCGCCGCAGCAGCGCTTGTAACTGGAGCAACAATTCGCGTTCACACAGTAGCAATTGATTGAAGCCAAGGGCCAAGTGGCAAGATCACACACACAGCCAGCGCGCAGACGGCGTATTGACTCCGCTAGCACCGTGGCAAGCTAGACAACCCAGGCGCACGGGTGCATATGAGTCAAGCGAAGGCATGAAGATATCAGCGCCGCTGCCACTGACGATATTGCCAGCGACTTTATGCGCTGCATGCGTGTTGTTGTTGTTTTTGATATACGCTTGCATATTTGCGCACGCGGCGGCTGCTGCGGCGCCGCAATCGCGCTGATCGAACATGCAACAATTTCGACAGCTGGTGCATGTCGGCGGTGGCGCTGAGCCACACCGGCCAGTTGGGGGCATAAAAAGCGAGAACTGGAGGCGAAATGTAAAACGATACATCGACGAGCAAATGATGAGGCATTAATGTAAATATTGAAGCATATCGGAGAAGGCTAAAAATACACAATTTCTTGTAAATATTTTTGTTGCAACAGCAAAGAAAAAGAAAAAATGCAATGACATCATCAACTCAGCGAATTTATTGTAACAACGGAATTTTAATTGCCGCAAAGCGCAGATGATTTTTCATAATCATGCCACAGCGGCAGCAGCAACGTGTGTGGCCATTTACAAGTGGTAAGCGGTGGTAAAGTGTCAGCGGTGAAGAAAATAAATAAATAAAAAGAGTAAAAGTACGTGAAACAGCATTCATGCCTCAAAATGTTGCAAATACGCATGCGCATGTGGCTATACGCATATGATCCACACACATCAAGTCAATTTGCCGTCACTCAAGCAAATGCGCCTGTAAGTGGTAAGTGTTCTGATTTGCGCGCTTCGCCGCTCAGAGTGCCACACCATAAAGTGCAAATGCGCTTAAGCAGCTTACAATTCGAACATCACAGCCGCGCTCGTCAAAATTTTACGCGCTGGCACTTACGTGTTAAGCGGATTACAATGCAAATAAACGGCGTATAAAAGAGGCAAATAATAACAGATTTTTCGGAAACATTCCAAACCTTCGCGCAGTTTAAGAGAACGTCGATTGCGAGTTGCTCAACTCCCTGCCGCTTGCGCGTGCTATTTGCGCTCAATTTATTTGCCGCATAAATTAGGCGATTTTCATAATTGTGCAACACACATGCAGAGTCCCCACTGTATTTACATATATGGTATATGCCGATATTTTTAAAAATATCGCGTTAATTACGCTTAAAGCTCCACTTCTCCGGAGCGCAAACCATTCGCGGGCAAATGTTTACTATGAAATGCGCGGCGATAAGATTGACTTTGACATGTGTTTGCTCAAACTGCGTCGCATGCTGCAGCGCATGCGCACAAGTGTCATACGCGCTATCAGCGATTTGCGGACAACTACAAGTGATTATGACTTATTTATGATTTGTCGTGTATTTACACGTTTTGCGTTCACATTTATTTACATTTTTCATATTTTATATTTCTGCTGTAAATAAATAATAAATATATTGACATTTGAATGCTGCGCAAAAGCGTTGCCAGCGAATTAAAGCGCGGTAGCCGTTGTGTGTCAGCGAAAATTTGCGTTTGATGGCTGAGTTTTTGTGAGTTATTGGCTGGTTAAATTGAGGAAGTCGTAAAGCAATGCGCAACTCACTTGAAAGGTGATAAGCACATTTTCAATAATGCATATATAAATATTTTTGCTTTTTGCTTTTGAATTGAAAAACAGTTAGAACAGGTGCGCTTGGTAGTATCGAAAGTTTAGTAGCCAAAAGAATGTTTTGGCCAAGTCATAACTTATTTTAGAAAAGGCTGATAGGCCAATAAAATAATTTGACTCTAAGTGAGAAGCATATTTCATTTACAGAGCATTTAAGTGGCTACAATTTCCATCTATATTATATAATTTTTTTTTCTACTTTTAACGAGCTTTCATATGCTACGACATTATTATCTGGTTTAGTATAAAATTCCTGAGTTTACGGAGTTTTAAACTTTTTTGAAATATTTATGTGAAAATTATAAATCTGGCAACACTATCTAACTCTCAAGAATTTGGTATGTCAATAATTGAGAATTAAATCAAGGCTGCACCTAGGTGAATTGCCTTTGAGTTAATGTACGTTCAGAGTGACAAACTCGAGTTTATTGGTAGAGTAAAGATAACTCGTTTACCCTGCCCAACAAACTCTAGTTTTGTGATTTTACGATACAAAAAAGCAAAGCTAACCCGTTTCACAATATCTTTAAGGAGTTATTTCGAAATAACCCTTGCCACTAATCCAAATGAGAACACTTGACAGATCTTCATAAATACCAAATCTTAAACTCATTGGCTAAGTAAATTTATATAATCAATTCATAAAGTATAGACGAAGTTAATTTTCACCAAAAACTTTCTCAGAAACTCCAAAAGCATGACGTCACCATAAAAACACCAAATTGAAATTATAAATAATATAGCATCAAATGTTAAGAGTAGATTTGAACACAACTTATACACCAATAATACAAATCTCAACTGCAAAAAAGAAATAAAAGCGTCACACTCCACAAACGATTCTCTAGCACCCCTCTTGTCGGCTCTTATACCCCTCTCGTAAGTTTCCACGAAAGCATAAATAGCCACACTCATGACCAGACATATGTCAACAAATTCGCAAAGCATTGTTTATACATATTGCTTTCAATATGCTCATATAACATTATTAAACTTTATTAGAGTTCATTGACCCACATTTACTGTCTACATGTGTTGGTAAACGGTCGCATTTAATGTCATGTGGCTGTGACCACTCATTCAATTGTCATTTGTTATTTTACTTGCAAAACACGACCGCGACATCCGAAGTACCGCATGGAAGAAATGACACTCGAGTAAAAATAAATTAAGTGTAAATACTGCAAATATATTATTTATTTTGATTCGCATTAAGACGTGTGTAAATAAAAGAAATTGCCACTTTTTGCATCGTATTACTAGCGAAATTTGTTTGGAAATTTACTTTTTATAAAAATAACTCAACCCAGTTGTAAATATAAGTGAGCAATGAAGTATCGCCGTTAACTAGGTCAGAATTCAGCAAAAAGAGGTGTGGCATTACATTGAAATAGCTAAGGTTGATTTAGTTAATGGCGACAACTCGTGTTATCTTGCACAAAATATTCGAGACTCGATTTAATATTTTAGCGTAAATAAGGCATACAGTGACAGAAATTATTTACACAGCGTTTTACAAGAAATCAGAAGATACATAACGATTTGTGGATTGACATATTTCTTCTTTTTTATATATGCTTAATGCAAAATTTGTATATCAAAAATTTAAAATATATATATTTTTTAGACTAAATATTTTTTTGTTACAAAAAATTAAACATTGCAGTAAAACATAATATTGTTTTATTTATTGCTTAAACAAAATTTTTTTTTTTATTTAACAAAAAAAATTTATAAAAATTAAACAAAAAATTTTTTTTTTATTAAAAAAATAGTCACTATCAAAAAAAATGTATATATAGTTTTTTTTATCAAATATTTTAAAAAAAATATAAACTTTTTAATTTTATAAAAGCAAAATAAAAACAAAATAAACAAGACAATTTTTTTTTATTAAATTTTCATTATGGAAAAAAATTTATATATAGTTATTTTTATTGAAAAAAGTTTCATAGTCAAAAACAAATTCTACATAGTTTTTATAGCAAATATTTATACAAACAATATAAAAATTTTAATTTAATAAAAGAAAAACAAATAAAATAAAAACCAAAAAAATATACAAATATTTTTATTAAAAAAATTGTCATAATCCAAAAAAAATTTATATATAGTTTTTTTTTATCAAATATTTATACAAAAAGGTATTTGAATTTAATAAAAGAAAATTAAAACAAAGCAAAAACTATCAACCATGATTTATGGTATATAAAAAATTTCATCATAAAAAAGATTTTGTATATAGTTGTCTAGTTTACAAAAAAAAAGTATTAGAAATATTTGATAAATTAATAATTGAAAAAATTTAGCTTTTATACATATTTTTCTTGCTTTTGATGTAATATGATATTTTCCATAAACTGTACTAAAATACTTACATCGTATTTATTTGGCCTCATTGTACCCATTTATTTTGCATGTAATTAAGATTCGCATTCGGCTACGCTTTACAACCACAAGCGACCATTGATGAAGTTCTCGAAAAAATGTATATATTTTCGTTATAATTGATTTTGTGTATATGTTTTTCTTAAATATTTTAATTAGCTCGTTATTTTTTTCTCTAAATATTTATTATCGGTATATTTATATAGCGTGTGTATTCTTTAGTTTTTTTTTTCAAAAAAATAATTTTTTTGCAAAAATATTTTCGTTTAATATTGCGCAATTATTATAATTTTTTTTAAATTATATTTTTTTTATTATATTTTATAGTAAAGTAAGTGTCATGTTTATTAATTTTAGGTTTTATATTTATAAATTTTAAATATAATTTAATATTTTACACTTTTTGCATTAATTTTCTATATAAATTTTTTTTAATTTGGTATTTTTTGTATTTTAAATCCACAAGTAATGAAATAGCGATATAAGTAATGAGTGAACACTTTTGTTATGCACTGTTAGCGTTGTTTTGCTGTTTTGATATTATTCAGTTCTTTTTTTTTTTTAACTTTGCTTACGTTTTTTTGCACCAATGATTAAAAATTTAAGCTTTTAAGATTTTTAACTTATTTGTATGAATATAAAGTAATTCTTTCGTTTCGCACTGGTATTATTTTCTTCCAGCGCTGAGTTTTACTTCTTTAATTTAATTTTTTTGTTATACTTTTGTTCAAAGCAGAATTTTTCTGTTTAATTTTTTATACATAATTTTTTTTAAACTCGGTATTAAGCTTTCAGTATATTTTGCTGAAATTTCGTTGTAGTATTAAATTCCGTAGCGTGTTCGTTAATGTTTAGCTTTTTGGAAGATTAGTCTTCTTTTATGCTGATATTTTTCATTTGTCTATCGTTTGACATCGTCATGCATTTTCTCTACATCTGCAAAAATAAATAGAAAATATGTTGAAATTTTGTTATTTATTTTAAATAAATTTTAGAAGTTCCAAAGTGATCAAGTATTATCTATGCTCAGTTTCCGAGTCAACAAAAAAATAATTTTTTGCTAACTGGTCCACTTTGTAACTAGTCGCCAACTAGTGCATTGTTAATTTCCTTTAGTTAATCAATACTAATTCATTAGTTTTCTAAGCATTTACGTTACTAGAAACGAAAAAAAAAAATTTAGAACGACACTTTTACTCTATTGTTTACTTTTTAACGTCTGAATATTCAAGCAATACAGGATAATTGCTTTACCTAAAACCCACCTTGGACAACTAAAGTTTGCTTGTACTCAATCTACGCGAAATTCTACGACCGTACGCGCTGTGTGCCACGTTTGAACTGCCTTGCACCGAGAAAGTAAAAAGTACCGTTAGTGCAGGCGTGTTGCAGCACCGGTCACAATGCGCTAACTTCTGCAACTGTATGAAATTTTTTACGGCAATTGCACTTTCAAGCCCTTTTTTTGGGTGAGCGCTGCCAGACACGTAAAGGCAGACAGGCGATCATACGGGTTAGAATGTGTGTAGCGACAGTCGGTCAGCTGTTTCGTAAGACACATACGCGCATATATGCACCTGCATATGTATGTGTGTATATGTGCGCACTTTACATTATGTAATTAGCATGCGAGAGCATTTTGTTGCTGAATCAAAGTTGCAAGAAATTGTGCTAGAAATTGCAGCACAAAAGGGAGATGCGAATAGAAAGGAAAGGCATGGGGAGAAAAAAGTTTCATGCACGAATCTTAGCCAGACATTTGTACTATATTTGTCTTGGCACACACACACACACAGTACTGGGTACAACCTCCAGTATTTAACTTTATTGCACTTTTCTAGCAACAGCTTCATTACTAATATTTCACTTCATTTTACTTTTTCTTAGTTAGCCTTTGCAATTGCTCGTTTCCTACTTTTAAACGCTGTGAAAGCGTACACAAAATTATTACATTTGAGCACTCATACTCATGCACATACACACACATATTCGGCTGTGGCACGCACCAGCAACAAAAATCCGGTCGATAGGTCACAACGCAGATATACAGCTACGAACAACAACAGCAACAGCACTCAGCAGCAACTGCAGACCGAGCGCAGACCAACAGGCGCAATAGCAACAACAACAACAATGAAAATGTTGTGGAAGAAAAGCAGGAAAATGTGCACCAAGCGGTGACTTGCAGACTCTGACAGGCCCCCTTTTGCACACTTCCAACGCGCATACACACACACGCACGCACGCGTATTTATGAGCTTAACTGCAGATGCATCGAGAATGTAACGAAGGCACAGTCATCCACCAGCTGCAGCACCAACAGCGGCCAGCCGTGCAGCCAAGTAGTCATCAAAGTGGCAATAAACTGGTCACTACGCGCTGTGACTTTGGCCCCGTGAGCGGTGTTAGCGCGTTTCATAGTCATAGCTAAACTCTTTCAAACATTTTCTATGCGTTTTCGGGGAAAAATCGTTAGACAGCTGACACGAACATACACGCGCGCACGAGCTTCGAAGCAAAAACTACGAAAAAACACCAAATAAAGTTGGCGAGCAATGAAGAAACGGCGAGCTTGACGCTTACTCAAGAAAAGAGGCACGAAATGACAAAAGCTAAAACGGCCTGCCAGCGAAACGCAAACAGGCAAGCAAAACAGAAACCAACAACAACAATTTGTATATATGCATGTGTCAGCGAGTGAAGGCAGAGCGGTCGACTGAGACCACGTGAAAAATGCCGGAAACAAAATCGATTAGCAACGTAGCAGTGGCAGAAGCACCCGCGGCAGTAGCACCGCTGGTGCGCTGTGTGGTATGAGCAACCACTGCTGCACGCTGGCACTTTGCGTGTTAGTTTTGTGGTGTTTGTATGTGTATGTGTGCGTAGTTGGCTGCGCTTACATGCTGCCACCGTGTGAGCCTTTGAATGGAGCGCATAGTGAAATGACAGGTCACTGCGAGTATGTGCTGCAAGTAGCTGGTGGTCTAGAAGCAACTATTAGTATATATTTATTTAGAAATGCAGTTGAATATATAGCTAAGCCTTAGACGACAGCTTAACGCACTTTCGGCTTACTTACCGCCATCTTTAGTGGCATTTTTCAGCCAATTCCCCAACCGAAACAACTCCAAGGCATACGCGAAACACTAATTTCCAAGCGACTTCCGCTTCCGACTTCCGCTAGCGGTCGATGGAGACCCACAAAAACCGTCCGGTTTTCGCATAACACTTTGCATTGCTATGTGTGTACACATGTGTGCGTGAAAATTGTGTCACTATTGCCATCAACGCTTTAACACTTTTTCACCAATTTCACCGTAGGCACCTCGCATTTAAGCAGAACATGTGCCTAAATCCGTATAAAAGTGAACAAACGTCTATAGCTTTTTCAATAATGAATTCCATACTTATAAATTAACAATTGACTAGCATTATTAGACTGCACTAAAGCTAAATTTTCACTACAATATCTGCTTTTCATAAAATCGTTTCGCTTGGAAAAATTCACGTAACACACCACCGAACGACAACGACGACGAAATTGATTTGTGTGTCACGAAATAACGCAAATGTCAAAAAAGTACATTATTGTGTGTGCAACTACGACTACTATTGGCATCCTCGTTGCCATTGCTGCTACCGTTGTTGCTCTTTTCAACTGCGCTCTCAAATTTTCCCAACTAACAACAAATCGTCGGCATTTAGTTATGTTGCTGCCGCTGCAACGACGCTCGCAACGTTCTCAGAACTCAGGTGTTTTTGTAAGGCGAAACCCTTATTCAATGCGTGCGGCAATGTGAGAGAGCAAGCACATAACAAGCCTTTTGAGAGGCAATTTGTGGAGAGCAAAGTGTAGAAATGACACAACTTAAGGCTCAAAGCGGAGAAGCGAGCGTGAAAGTAATGTTCAGAGTGATTATTGTGAGAGAAAGTGTGAGAGAGAGTGTGTGAAGAGAGAAACTGCTAAAATTGCGAGCATAAATTTTTGGCTAAATGTCAAATCGAAAACAGCTGACCACCATATTGTAGTCATGTGTAGAAAATAAGCACTTTCAACTTTTAAGGAACATATTGACAACGAAAGGTTTCAGTGTCCATTTTTATACACTATCTTAATTCTAATAAGAATGTGAGCTATGATATAGAAAATGCAGAATTTTGGAGTGCTGGATTTGCTCTAACTTTCCTCGGTTGTTGGCCAACCCTAGAATCAGGAGAATAATATAGCACTACACTTTTCCTACAGCCCTCATTCACTTTCCTTATTTGATTAAAGCTTTCAATAAATATACATTTCTCCTCTCATACGATACTGTGATTAGCCAGCATACATATTCTAAAGTCTCGGAGTATATTCACTTGCTCAAGATTTGAATAATAATAAATTATTTATCGCAGTTATGTCAATGTGAATGCACCATAGTCTCCTCTTTTATTAACAATCAACCGACGAGAGCTTCTGCTAGCAATAAACCCGCGAAAACTTCAGAGAATTCAATATATTGTAGGTATACTAGTTTAAGCGATAAGCGCCATCAGATCATCTTAGAGCTGATAATACATTTCTTTAAAAAGTATTTTAATAGTTTCGGTAACCCTGATTTCACCAATATCAAGAAATTTCGCCTTATAGTGATGACCCGCACACTTTCGTGACCTTCTCTAAAATCGTCAGAGCAGTTATATGCTTTCAAGCTTCAATCAAAAGGTAACTTAACTCATGCAAACGACAATTTCACAAAGCAGCTAAAGCCTTTTGAAAACAACTCAGCGCAGAAAGTATAAAAATGCCCAACCATCTAACGAAAAGGCATAAAAATGCCTAACGGTCTACAGAAAACGATTATAAATACTTCATCAACCCAGAAACGTATGCAAAAGCTAAGGAGCGTAAAATCCAGGAATAGACATGTCATTTCCACTACTTAAACGGCCATATTTTCGTAAGTAAGTGGTGGTTGACTTTCTGGTTAGTCATTGTAATTTAAGAACTTCAATAACGTAAGCCTTGCCGCAGTCCAACAAAGGAGAAGCAGCAGAGTGGGAGTTAAGTTTTTCGTTGGGGCTCTTCTATGTTAGTTTATGTTCTTAAGTGCTGCATGGCTTAGTGAAAGTGACAATGCTCGATTAAATCGTTGGACACGGACCGCTACTAAGGACAGACAGTCTAAGGAAAATGTCGAATGAGCTGCGGAAATGGTGGTGGCCAAATATGACTGATATGTCTATATCCACACGCAGAACTTAAAGTTAAATCGACCCTGTAGAGATGATTTGTATAAGCTATGATTTTTAGGAATTTTTAGTTAATATTTTATTGTAGTTCTGACTTAAGATTCAATTTATTGAAAATAATCATTCAGCCTGGGTTACAAATTACAATACTTTATTCAGCCTTCTAATTTCATTATAAATATTCTATTCTAGTTGTACCCATAACGAAAGTTTGCTAGTATATCTTATGGTTAAATATCTCTTTAGTTCTATTTATGTCCTACTAGTACGGTCTCTGGTGTAAAGCCGCTTATGCCAGGTAATAGTAGATGTATTAGTAGTCCAAAAAGAATAGGGTGATTTGAATATATTGTTGGGCATTGTTCACGCTTGCTTCGAGGGTGAAATATTTTTTTCATTTGTTATTTTTTGCTTTCTGTTGCTTATCTAAATTGTTGCGGCAACGGTCTTTGCCATATTGGCTATGGTTTTGTCTTTATTACACGGCTATCATAATTTATGGCAATTAAGTCTTTAAACATAAAATAGTAGTAACTCATAACGTGTAACATATATTTACATACACACATATCTAAGTAATAACCAACTTAAATTTTATAGATATGAAGCCAAATTATTTTGATATTAAGACTTTGAGGGGAATGCCAAAATCAATCTCAGGCACAGTAGACTATCAATAACAGTAACGCGTGTTTTTTTTTTTTGTAACTTTTCAGCTAAAATGCTTTGCAAGCAAAGTTTTTTTTTCGCAAAAGTTGAAAGCTTCGAAAATTTATATATTGCTGTTAATAAATCGGTGGTAAAACGAACAGTGTCAGCGGACTCATTGAATGTTGCTCTATAGCTCATTGAGTTTTTGTTACAAATACCAAATTGGAATAAATTTAAAGGTATTGAACAATTTTTGTAACTTTTTTTTTAACACTCATTCACTCTCTCGCTCTCCAAGCGTATTTATGGCATTATATCTGTCAGCTGCTTGAAACGATTTTAAATTTGCTGGATCTAACATTTTTAATGGAAAGTTACTGAAGTTTGTAGTACCCACATAAATTTTAAAAATATCTTGGAAAGATAATAAAATTTCTGATTTTATAAAATCACTTATTGAAAAACAATCATAGAAAAAATCGTCGTAGTTTTCTTATCTTTAAGAGAATATCAGACAAAATTCTGGTCAAGAAGTACTCAACTCAAATTATTATTTTTTCTATAAAAAAAATAATAAAATTAATTAACACCGATTTTAAATTCATTTAAATGAAAGTAGCATTTTTGCTGGATAATATTATATTTTTCACAGTTCCAATTATTTACAAAAATAACACATAATACGCCTTTTCTGCCAATTAAAATTAACTAATTTCACAAATAAAGCGACTTTAGCGTTTTCACATTTATTTGAAATTTTTAAATGAAAAGCAAACATATTTTAAAGCAAGTAGTAATAATAATAATAGCGCATGAAAGCATTTTACTAACTTTGTGTGGCACATTCACCTTAATAGTTTAACCACTTTGCGGCTCGCTGTGTGCATATGTACAGGTATGTGCTTCAGCCGACACGCTTCTTCACTACACTTCACGCCGCACCACACTTTGCATTGCTTTTCATTATCTTTTCCATCCGTTAGTAGTTTTTGTTGTTGTTGTTGTTCACTTTTTCTTTGCACACTTTTCTTTCGATTTTTTCACATGCACGCACACATACACGAATGCTGGCGTATTTGTTGTTGTTGTATTTATATGTGGTTATATTTATTTTTTAATTTATTGACTTGTTTGCTTATTTGATATTTTTTTTGCCCCGTCCCAGCCCCGACGACACACGGCTGCCCATTGACGGTGATTCCGGCCACTATATCGAGGCGCAGCGGTGCTAAGGTGGCACTACGGCGCGGTGCACTTCCACAATCACTGTGGCAGCCTTAATACACGTACTCGCACTACTGGCATAGCTTTAGCACTCACTTGTTCGTCGACTTGTACGTCGCACTACATTCGACTAATACGTTCTTCGGCGGTCGTTGTTGATGATGGCGATGTGTGTTGTTGTCGCCAGCGGTGTTCCACAGAGTGTTCGAAGTGTGTGAACCCAACTAAATGCGATACGAAACTGAGGCGCAGGCAAAAAGCGCACAACGTGTAGTCAGTCAATCGTTGCTTTGCCCTGGCCTGGCCTAACCACCAGCGCCCGGCGCACGGCAGCATGGCAGCGTGGCAGCAAGTCGACATTGTGGACTGTGGCGTATGTGTGTTTGTGTGTGTGGCGTGTGGAGCAACGCAGTCGCAATGCGCACCAAAGGCAAATAGTGTAGTGGCAGCGCCGCAAAGACAGTGTAAACACGAGTGGCAGCACAAGCAGTGTGCTGGTGGTGGAGCGGCTGCGACTCGCAGCAACCGCGTCGCATGCAGAAATGGTTCGACGAAGACTACGAACAGCATACAGGCTAATAACAGCAGCGGCAGCAACACAAGCCACTGGTAGCACAGGCATGGAGAGAGACCGCAGGCGAAATTTTTCGTCGTCGTCAGCACTGGCGATGTGTTAATGCAGAGTGCGACAGCTACGACAACAGCAGCAACAGCGCAAACAGTGGTGCAAATTTGAAGTCAGCGATTTTTACAAACTTGGAGCAATATTATTTTGATGCTAATTGCTAGCGAAGCAACCGTTTGGGCGTTATTGTTATCGATTATTGATTACTTAATTGGTAGATAAATTGAGTTTAATTTTTACCTCCGAGATTTCTTTGTATTTCATTAAAACCAACGTTTTTATTGACTTTGGGTGATGGCAGATAAACTTAAGATGAGCGCGACCTGTAATCTCAAGACTTAAAAGAAAGGGTGAGCCCAGGCAACAGAACTTACATTATGCCGAATTTATCCACATTGCTTGGTAAAACTTCAGAGTTAACCCAAAAAAGGTTGGGAATCGCTTGAAGGTATTTGCAGAATCCGCCAAGACCCATTTCTGTCATCGTTTCATACTAAAAAGTGATTTTTCCTTGCAAGATCCCGGAAAAGTACGAAGAACGGCCAGCCAAAATCTTCGTCGACAATTGTGCTGACAAAAACGAGTTTAATACTTACAGATTCAAACAGGTTAGATCATCGAGATAACATACCGGATAAAATCCGAGTCAATTCCGGTAGCGTGGAACCGGCTATTGCGGGAATTGTTTTCTTGCCACTTCCGCTTCAGTATTCCTATGAAGACTAAGGTACGCTGTAGTATACTTACTTTTATAACACACTGTCTTCAGCCACTGTCACAGCCATCGGCTACGCCAATGACTACGCAGTCACAGCTTACGCTTAACGCAGCTGCGATTCTCACACGCGCAGCATAACATAAAGACCGCAAATGAAATGCAAATAAAAACGGCACAAAAAAAGCAACAACAATGAAATTAATGCACCCACCCAACAACCAAAGCACAAAAAACCACAAAGCTTTGCGTTTCAGCGAAGAAAAAATACGAAATGGGAGTAAAGCTGTGG